GTGCATAATTTTTAGTTTACATTGGATTTGCTACTCGATAGTGGTAAAGTTATTGCATTAATTTATTTTGTGACGATACATTCTGTTATATTTTATCAACTGCTTTAGATTGAGCCGAGAGGCAAGCGTACAAAGAGGCAGACATTCTGGTTCGTCTATGCAGGTCTTATCCAACAGCTACCAACGACCTAAACTTGTAATTACATTTAATTGTACTGTTAAGCTTTGTTTGAGTTTGATAATTCTGCGGCGCATGGACTAGGATTCATCTATGCCTTATTAAAATTGGCACCAAATTCCTCCTTATCTGATAAACGCGGTTCATGTTCAATTTATGCTGTCTGAGGGAAGTTCTTTAAGTCAATAACCCTTTGGCTCTAATGAAAACTGTTTTCTCTTCCCGGATACATTTGATTCCATTTTTACTCGAGCAATCCACTAAGAGTTTACACATTACTACGCTTATAGACAACGTCAAAATAGTATGGTTTTATTTTGACTCATGCAAAATTCAATTTTATTGTTTTGCAAAAAGTTATTTCTACTTACGTTTACCATTGCAATTTTTTTGTTTGAGTACTCTACTCTTTTTGTCCTCATTTCACTCCTATTAAATCCAGCTTTTCGCTATATTACATATATTAATATCGTGTGGAAGTGATAATTTCTTATTCTCTATCTATCTAATAAGGACCTTCTATAACGATTGAAATTCGGAAGATCTAATATTCTTAGCCACCATTCATCCAAAACTAGCCTTATTAGAAGATATGATTTGCTGTACTCATGCTTGGGTTAAGACGTTGCTAATAGCAAGAATATGGTCAGCATTTCATGACGTCATAATCCAGCGATATTAAATAGTAATCTAAACTCCTTCCCTATTTCATGCAAAGTAAGTGTTGATGCTATTGTTAAAAGAATGAAGTAATCATTCGTCCTCCACGATAAAGACAATCTTGTAGTAACTTTTAACAGGTGTGGAAAAAAATATTTATGAGCCTTGCTTCAAACGTGTGGATTCAATTCATTTGAGTAAGGAATTTCTAGCGACTGTAAAAGGAACTGAGCATTTTTATATTTTTTTTACGAATGCTCCCAAAGCGCTGTTTTCAACTTTACATTAACTCTTTCTCTTTTTTTCATCAATAAAATGTTATTTTGCCTTTCATATGAATCTAAGCTACATCTTTTTTTATCTAGTCAGTGGATAAATTAGGTATGCTCCAACATAAAATTTCTCCTCTACTTTTTTGTGCATTAATGGAGCACTTTGAAGTTTCTAGACACTATTTAATAAACTTTTATCCATCCAAAACATTTTATTTCTAAAGCTAATTTTCAAGCTGAAATCCCTTTGATTATTATTCTATTCCATATGGAGTATACATTTATCCTCAGTTTTATTTTTGCATCCTTACATGTATATTAGTACTCCAATCGGCTAAAATTCTTAAAAGTATAGTTTAATCTTATCTGTTAGTTAAACTCACATTTACGTTAGGAAATTCGCACCTAATTACTATACATCCGTCCTTATTTGTTCGTTTTGATACCATTTTGTGAATCACGAACTTTCAAAATTACTATAAGTGATTGTCACTGTCAGTCCCCATGATCATTCGGAGCCTGATAGCTGGACTGATGGCAATGCATTTTTGATAGGTCTTCAATTCACTATTCATTTTGATCGTAACTTGTTTTCCAACAGGTTATCTAATTCAGAATGACATCAGTTTCATTATTTTCTAAGGCTCGCTTTGAATAAAATGCCTGGGCAAATAAACAAATTGCGGTCTGGCTTTATTCTCATTTAATCACTGATACTGGCAATATTAATGGTACTAGCATATTATTTTTACAACTGTTTATGATGCTTATTCCTCCTTTCTTCCCTTCCCGCCATGTCATTTATGTTTTACAGCTACCTCATGAGTACTACCCTTTATTTCCTTTTTCTTTGCCCTTCTCGCTTCGCTTGCCCAGTCCCCAAATCATAGGTCGTCACATCAGGATTCTTCTGAGGACGCAGCTTCTTTGTTGGGCCGCCTCTCAAGAGATATCAATATCGAGACTCCTGTCAAGGCCCTTCCTGATCCTCTTACTCCACTTCCTTCACCTGGCAGCGTGTTGGGCCGCATACTAGCCGCCCAGTTAGTCAGTTGGGTCGACATCTTTAAGATCATGCCACACTTCACTATCCTTATGAAATATCTGGAAAGGAATCAGATCAAGTGGTAAGCTTTATCTTCCATCTCGCTTCTGCATTTGCGATGAGTCTGGTCGGATGTACGGTAGAATTTAATCATTTTGTCTCTTATACTATCTGACATAATTTTGAGTGACTGATATCTGAATAAACTAGGATTGAGACCAAAATTTTGCTCTGGCGACTTTATTTTTTTTTAAAGTTTGAAGACCATGATGGTGTAGCCATTTGTGTGGTCGCAGTCTTCTTTCGTTGTATAAAAGTTGCTTGACCTTGTTTTAGCAAAATGGAAAAATTGGTAGGAAGACTTAGAGGAACGCACCTAGTCCGGAGTCCATTGTGTACACGCTAATTTCCAAATTCAAACCGTAGCGTGGTTCATTTCCAGACCTTTCGCAGGCATCGTCGGTGAGTCTTGCCACTCTTAGCACCATATTACAACTCGTTAAAGTGACAAGTGAAACCGATTTTTTGACCAAACGTGTGCTAAACAGTTGTGGTATCTCTCCTTCTCACGCGGGCTATTCACCTTTCCTATATCGACGTATCACGCCTTCACTGTCACAATTTTTTCCATACTTATTTTGATGTAGTGGGGTGTGACCTTTTGAGCGGCTTTAATGAGAACTCTCCAAACTCCGCGCTGGTGTTCTCACCCCCCTTCAGCCTTTTGCTGGGAATGTTGATCGGAGTCTGCCATATTGTTACGCAGTCCTCCTTTTCTAGGTCTTATCAGAGTCTCCTTCTTGCCCTGTAGGATCCGTCTGCTATCTCCCTTGTTCGACCCCTGCAATCCCAACTGTGCTACTCGAGGCGTTATTACCCATTTCCTGTGTCTGGATGACTAATTCGAGGCTACAGCCT